GTTATTAGATATCCCACACTTTGATAATAGAAAGTCTGTTAGGAATTGTGAAATGTTGTCAGAGCCAGGGCTTGAATTTACTGTGAATGACCTTGTAATCAAAGCTCCCTCTTGATATTTTCATCTTAGTGAATTATTTTCTCCCTTCATCAGTGTATGTATGTCAAAATTGTGGCCAGTCTCTTTACAGTTGGCAACGAACGCATTAGATGTATTGTTCTGCAAAATATCCCTTTTGTGTTCATATCTTTTATTCAGTTTCTCGTGACAATTATTACAGGCGATCAAGTAAATTCCTTATTTGAAAATTATTGTTTGTTTAATATTGTCTAATCTTTTACATGGAATAGTAACAAAATTGATGTTGTGTTTAGGTAGATTCTTTTCAATTATAGAGTTGGTAGGACTATATATTTTTTTTTATTCATTGGATTTGTCAGGAGGGGCTTTTTCTATTTCGGGATATAGTCTTTTATTTCGGAATTGAATATAAAATAATTATTGTACTGAAGAAGTTTGAAATGAAAAATTCCAAGCATTCCAAGTTCCTGCCTATGTATAGTCGCATCAACATAACAAATTTAGTCCGATGATGTCCAAAAGGACGAAATGCGCCACAAGAAAACTTTTTCCACTTTGTCATACATTTTTCTCAATTTTTTTCTAGATATACAAATATATATATTATCTTCTAATATATATATATATATATATATATATATATATATATATATATATATATATATATATATGACGTGCTATATTACTCAGCTTAGCAAAATACAAATTACTGTTTATAAACAAGAAAACTTCGAAGATCTTTCACGAATGATCATATCTTCTCATGAAACATATCTTAACTTAAACATTGGCAACATATTAAGAAATAGAGTCTGACAATTATTTAATATATTTTCTGTTTATACATTATTTTAATATATACATTGATTATTCGATAAAAGTTTGGAGGTTAGAATAAAATACGAAACACTGATTACGGGTGGAGGTCATGAGATAAAGTGGAAAAGTGATTTAACTACGCGTTTCGGCACTTATAGCAGGAGTCCACAGGCTGGAATAAGAGATAAACCCGGATGTGAGAAAAGTTTTGGAATCTATATACCAACTTACTTTTCTCATATCCGGAAGATATAATAAAGATATTTATTAGATGCTGATATCAAGTTTTTTTTTTTTTTCGTACTCAAGCCGAAACTTATGTTGGATTTGATATGTAACCCACATATTTGATTTTCTCTATTAGATTGTATACTGCATTTTGCAACTAACATGATATTGTATCTGAGCCCGTTCTAAGTTAGACCGTACAGATTGTTGAGTTCAGTACTCTTTTAATGTATTTTATTCTGAGTAAATTAATGGCGGTGATAATTTATAGGAAAATCTAAAAATTTAAAGCACGTCAAGAAGCATTTTGAAACCTTTACGGAAGTATTAATAGAGCGTTAAAATTTCAATTAAAACCGCGTAAATTTAATCTGGTTAACTGAATCCGAATTCTATTTAGTCATAACGTTAAGTAACCGATTATATTTTAAAAATAAAAGGTATAAGCAATATTCATGCAGATGAATCTCAATGGACATTGATAAACTTTCAGTGTTACTGGATCCTTCGTTCGGAATAGAAAAGATTTTGAACAAAAAATAAATAAATAAATAAAAAATGGTGAACTACGTAAATAATTAAACGAGAAATTCGAAGGAATGTATACAAAAGGATGACCAGAACGGAGTGTTGAGAACATTTGAAAGCATGTCGACATGAAGTTAACAAAAGAACTATTGGTGCTGAACTGGAGGGGAGAAAATCTTCGTATTCTGTGCATTGAAAAAAAATACTCTTTTAATGACGATGTGACACAAGCAAACTCAAAGGACATTTCATACAAGAGCGTTTGAAAAAATGTTGGAAGAAATTTCTTTATTCATATTGAAATAAAATCGACCATTTGACTCAACTTGCTGAAGGAAGATAGGATAAAATAAATACAAAGAATTACCATTTGTAAAGCAAGTGAATGGAATATAATCTTTCTTGAAATGACAATGGTGTGATTAAATGAACCATAGAGACTGATTTGTTTCTTATGTCTTATCAATCTTTTTAAACTTTTGTAAAGACGAAATACTTTTTTGCATTGTAAAGAATTTTTTGATAGTAGTAAAGATTTTCTTATACAAGCCGAAATATTTTTGGATTGTAGAGAATTTTTTGATGGTAATAATGATTTTCTTATATTTTTTCATACCAGACGAAATATTTTTGGTCTTAAGAGAATTTTTTTACAGTAATAATAATTTTCTTATACAAGCCAAAATATTTTTGGATTGTAAAGAAGTTTTGTAATAGTAATGTTTCTCTTATACAAGCCAAAATATTTTTAGATTATAAAGAATCTTTTGACGGTAATAATGATTTTCTCATACAAGCCGAAATCTTTCCCTTATGAATATACAATTCTACGACATAGGCACTTGTATGATGTAATGGGTGACAAGAATTTTTTCACTAGATCAATTACGAATGTGTAGAGAGCTCGATCCTCATTACGTCTCATTCCAGTAAATTCCTACGATTCTACTGCAGTTAAGATAAAACGAAACAATAGAAATTTGAATCATTTCACGAAAATATACTTTTAAATATTCCATTACATTATTTAAAGTATCCAAAGCAAGATTTCACTTTAGCAGGATGCTACTTTTGTCTCATGCACACACACACACAAATGCACATAAGTTTGGCCAAAGAACAGTAAAAACATATTTTATGGATTTTTTATTTATTTCAGATCATTTTCTGTTTTCCGGTGGAAATCTGCACATATATTTCCCATGTCTGAGTATTTTCAGCATTCAAAACTCGTTATCAGAGATGAAAGCCGGAAGTACACAAATTTATATTCAAATTGAAACCTGAAACTCAAAAAATGCTTTGAAATAATAATAATATGTAATAAAAAATATCAATTAGAAATTCTATATTTTTTCAAAACTTTTATACGTATTTGTTGTAATGGAATGTCCCTCTCCCTACCGCCTATTGTAGATTGACAATATCAGTATATATATATATATATATATATATATATATATATATATATATATATATATATATAATGAGCACACGCTTTGTTTCGGGAATTAGTCTCGAGTTGGCGATTCGTCTCCAGCTGTGCTGGTCGAACTTTGCCTCCGAGAAGAGACGTGGCTATGTCGAAGGGCAGAGTCTCGTCTCGGAAAACAGCTATTCGACCACGTTTTATATGGGGAATTTTTGGCCGTGCTCGGATATCCCACATTAAATTCGGCCTTGTGCCACATCTGACCTTGTGTGGCGGTTGGTAAATAACATTGAATCGGGAATTATTAGCCTGCTAACCGATTCCTCTGCCTTTCAATAGTGCTTTCTCTTTTACAATAAACTTCTCTTTCTTTCATTTGCGCCAGTGTTGCTGTTCCTTTCACTCGAGTACCACCTTTGTCTGATTGTAACCGTTAAGCATACAACAATATTCAACTTAGAAAAACAAAAAAAAAAATGTTGTTTAATAATATTACCCCAGCCACGAGGGTTTGCATCAGATGTAAGTGCCTATCTGAGTCATTTGGGTCTCGATTCTTGACATCCAAAACAGTAACCTTCAACGAGATCTTAGTATTGCGCGGTTGCTGGATGGTCTCCTTGTCGACGATGCTCTGGGGAATTCAAATAAAGAGAACAAGGAGGCAATATATTCGTAAAATTCTTCGCCAACCGCTCATATTTCATATTGGTCATTTGGGAAGGAGTAGATTCTTGCTATAATACGCAGGGCCAAATCGATCCTGTGTAAGCGCCGATGTAGCTGGTAGCAGTATTAACCATGATAATCCACGGGAAGTTATGTGTGAATCACTGTGGGTACTAGACCACCTTGATGTAGGGTGACGTCAGAGCCTGATTTGGCCATTATAATTGAGGGAGTTTACCAAAATTAAACAAGTGCAAAATTTAATTATCTAGGAAGTATTTCAAAAGAGAACGGAAAATGCCTCACCGAAATCCGAAATTGCCTTCTAAAAGCTAAGCAAAGTATTAGGAAATAGGAAAATTTCATTAGTAACAAAGGAAAGAATACTGAACTATTATGCAATATCGATACTCCTATATGGCAGTGAATATTGGACCATCTTATCTGAGATAGAGAAGAGACTTGAGGCAACAGAAATATTGTTCTACAGAAGGATGCTGAGAATACCATGGACTGAACACGTTATCAACAACGAAGTTTTAGAGAAAATGGTTACAAAAAGGGCACTTATATGTAGCATCTGAAAGGAATAAATTTCTAGGGAATATAATAAGGAAAGAGGACTTAGAAAATTTGACGCTCACAGGACATATTGAAAGCCTGAGGAAAGAAAGGCTTTTTGTACTTAACGAGCTTCAGTAAATGGTTGGCAGAACAAAGATAAAGAAAGAAAAAAGACAAATTTCGCTAAGAGCTAGAAAGAACAGGACGTTATGGAGAGCCATGTCCTGAAAGCACACGGCACATAAAAGAATTTTGATGCTCACTGGGTGCCCCATACTTGTGGCCTTATGACAGACTTAGCTAATCTTAGTAAGTAACATCACCATCACTACCTCCAGGGTGTCTGCGCAGAGCCAACTGATGCCCCATCTGTTCATTTTCAAAAATCTGGCTACATGCCTTTTTCATTTCCACTGTCTTTCTTTTTTCTGTTTAGCGGCATATCAACTTTTATGGTTTATTTAATGCTGAAATCCATATATTTTGTATCCAATTTTTGTCTTGGGATAATAATAATTTTAGTGGTAAAAGTCTTACTAATTAACTTATAGCTGGCGGGAAAAGAGGTGGATCCATACCTTTCCCAAGTGTATTTTCGCGTAAGTGAATATAACGAACCGAATTGGAATTCGTCTCTCCGATTAACAGATTCCGAGCCATTAACCATTACCTGCACATTCAGAACATGTTATTCCCAAGCGGTCACCCATCTAGGTACTGTCCGGGCTAGACGTCGCTTAACTTCGATGATCATACGGACACCGGTGATTCAACGTAATATGGCCGTAACTGAATATGTATTACTTTAGTGCATCCAGTATTTATTTCTTTTAAATTAACGCGCGAAATAGCTTCCTTAAAGAAAGAAAAATGTTGATATGAAATGGTTTTTTCTATTTCTTTATGTAGCGATTTTGAAAAATTTGTGACATGTCTGGCAAGAAATACAAAACGAAACGAAAAATGAACAGCTACTCAGTCTGTTTAAATTATTTTGATATTTTGGGTAAAACATGAAAAAGTATTCGGTAACTAGAATATCTTCCCAAATCAACACTAAAATTGAAGAAATGTTTTTTTTAATTAATATCGAGGTTATTTGAGGTTATTTCTTCTATAAGGAAGTAAAAATGTTGGTATTGGGACGTCATCATTGATCAAATCAATATTTCTTTTTGGTAGAGCATTTTCTTCGGATATTAACACTCACCTTACATCCTTATAACGTTCGTCAAATGAATTCTCCTCTCAAACAGAATATAACTAAACGTATTTAAAAGATCTTGTAACGGCAAAATGCATTCTGTTTCTTTAATTTCAGAATGATTGGTAACCTCATTTTTGTTCTACAAAGTTTTTTTTTATTTGCTTTTCTTAATTTTCACTAAACCAGTTACTCTTTTCCACTTTGTTAATTTAAACTGTTCTTATTTGGTCGTTTCGCAAGAGTCTAGTTTAAAATTACAACTGCATCTTTTCTCAGTGTTGTGCAGATTTTTTATTGACATTTTGGCTTAAATTTCGATTTAAAATTTGCTATCACGTTTGAAAAATAATCTGTGTTTTTATAGTTGCAATAAGGGATTTAAATCTTTTTATTTTCTAGCCAGCAGAATTTTTACTGCCTTTTCCCTTTACAATTTTTTTTATCTTGAGAGATCGATATTTTGTTGTTCAAATTAAAATTACCAATTTCCCATAAAAAAAAAAACTCTTGGCGTATTATATGTTACTTTTATTCCCCTATAAAAGTGAAATTCTAGTTTCTTGTGCAGACTTTTTCGGATTTGCAGCAGTTACATTAAAACAACTCGAAATGAGATTTCATTCCGTGCAGATGTAATTCTTTCGTGGACATTAATCTGGTTGCTAACAAGCCTTGTAACTGTTTTGTATCTGGTGGTCAATTTAATTCGCAAATGAAACATGATTATATAATTTTGTGAAGATCTCACGAGTAATGATATTTTGAAGAAGCCGATGAAATTTATGACGTCGATAAATTGCTTCAGACAGGAATCTCCACAACGTTGCGTTTCCATTATTACTTTTTATATCATACAGCGAATATTAATTCACATTTGCCGATTTGAAGAAATCGGAACTCTACGTTAAGAACTAAACAGAAAAAATCATTAGAAACAATGAAATATATTAAATTTAGTAGCTCATATGACACAGAATTAGCGATTAGATATTTATCAATGGACGAAATTATATTTCTCGACTTGCTTATTTGCTCCGTGAAAAACACATTTTGTTGTCCTTAATATTATTAGAATATACATGCATCTAGCGTAGCGGCTAACATCGACGAACCTCGGATCAGCTGGGTTGTTTTCAAATTCCAACAACTGCGTTCACTTTGGCACAAAATATGGTTTCCTCGCTTGTCTCCTCAGCTATGGGTTAAGTACCAGGACAGACTAGACGCTTTGGATTTTGCTGGAAGCTTGCCTAGAAGGACGGCTCTAAAGGCAAAACAAATTGGGGTTCGGGCTAGTAACTCTGTGGTGTTTATATGTGGGTTTGATGATTATTACTTTGTTATTGGGTTTCACTTTTGGTGTTTTTGCGAGTTTGCTATACGTGGTTATCTTCGGATAACATCCTTAATCTTAATATAAACCAAGTTTTTGCCTATTAAAATGAATGCAAAGATAATTAGTAAAATATATATTTTGCATGTACTGATAAAATTTTATATATCTTAAAATATACAAAATTTAAAGTGTTCCTATCGGAACGTTCTCGTGTTGAATGTCTGTCCTTAAGCATAGGATACATGTATGTATATATATATATATATATATATATATATATATATATATATATATATATATATGAGAGAGAGAGAGACCGACCGACCTTGTAAATGTGTGTGTACGGATGTTTTTCGTTGATAGTGTTCTTTTCGTTCGACTCTTTGTGGAATTTAAGCCTCCTGATAATGTAAGCCATGAGAGAACGGACTCCTTTCTTTGGTCGTATTTGTGTTTGTACACTTTTCCAAGACAAAGGAATTCATTTCAGAATTGTTTCTTGCTTTCTGATTGGTTCACAGGTGTGACTTGTTTCACAATCTTCTTTGTTGCACCTACATTTCGGGATGGAGAATTTTATCTTATTTTATTTCGTTTCTTTTTTATTTCTTGTTAGCAAACTTAACTAAACTAAACCAAAATAGAATTCTTTTTTGAAATACTGATTTTTATACCACTACACACACTTTCCGCCTTACTAAACGGAGTTTGTAATAATTACTTATTCACTGTTATTTAATTTTCTTTGTTTAATAGTAAAAGTATGTTTTCGTTTCTCCATTTAAGTTTTGTATTATTCATATCATCAGAAATTTTAATAGTAAAATATTTTAGGAATGATCATCTGTTGGGTTCTTATTTCTTTGTTTTTATTTCTTTCTGGCAAAATCAAAATGTACGTTTCTATTCTTTTCTTTAAATAGTTAAATTTTCCTATAACTTCTAATCTATATAAGCGACTTGCTTCGAAAATTACGGCTGCAATGCCTAGTGTGGAGGGGCTGTGTCGCTATACTTAACGAGGTATCTACAGAGTTAACATACATTTTTAGTATTTTTTAAAACACGAGTCATCAAAATTTATATTTACATATTTACCCAGTCATTTATGGATATCGCCTGATTCCATTAGTTTATATTTTCTTGTGTCTTCTATATTTCACATGGATGATTCTTTCTTTGTATTATTCTTTCAAACCGTCCACCAATGTGATAATGAAGATATTTCCACATAAAGTTGACAGTGCAAATGGGTTTATAGTCGCGTGGGGCTTCGGGGTTAAAATGAACAGTTAATTTATCGCACCAAGAACATTAATCGATGATGATAATGGCGAGAAAACACACAGGTAATTGTAACAAAACAAGATAAGGAATTTATTTACGAATTTACACAACTGAAGTAGTAGTCAGTAGTTAATTCCACAAATTCAAAGACGAATACACTAGAAAAAGATAAGCAACACAACGACAGTATTAAATTCAACGAGTTTAGTGTACAGAAAAGGGTGTATGCACAATAAAAGTCTTGCAAATATAATTCATATTTGCGGACTTAACTTGTAGGAGAGTTTTCAAGAACAAGTAGGAATTGCGGCCTCGTGGCTTCTGTATTATATTAACGCCGAAAAGGACTGTTAGTTGCAAAAGAGGAAGATTTCAGGATACCGCGAGTTTATTGCGTTGCTCCAAGAAGCGATCCTGATTGGACAGCAGTTAGCCAATCAGAGTCCCGGATTAGTAAGGTTTTCACGTTCAAAATTGATCTTTGAATGGTAAAGGGTTAGCTCCCTTTATTATCCCTTTCAAATTCTTATACATTCCTGACACCAGGAATTGCAATAAGAATTTATTCAATATTAAAATTTGTTTGCATAATGTTTCACTATGAACAAAAGGCTTAGTCTCATTTATTGAAAATTGAAAATGTTTAATGATCATAGTTATTACAAAGTTGTCAGTTAACACTGTAAGGAATTTTAATTTTTTTAACATAATACAAGGATATTTGAATTATGATCATAATAATATATATAATTTTCAGTCAGTTTTTTTGTTTTCCTTTTAACTCGATTGTCCAGCTGAAGTGGTGAGGTGTTGGAATTTGAGTTATTCTTAGTAATTTCATTTTTTTATTCTCGAAGTTTCCTCCTCCCCCGATACTGTTCTGAGATGAGAAAAAGTTGTATCAAGCATAGCTTTCGTGGGTAGAGATGCTTAAGACTATATAGGTTTCTAATGCTCCATCACATACGAGCAGAACGTATTTTATTGTCATCTCTTCTGAAAATTTCATTGATTCTACTGATTTGCCAAAAAGGTCTTGGTTTCGTAGGTCTCGTTATAAGAATTAGGTCATTTGTATTTAGCTTATTAAAATGGGTTGTTTTGTGGAGATCCTTGCAGATTTCTCAGAGACCAAGTAAGTATGCTTCATGCCACATTTTCTTGAAATTGTCCAACATTTTGTCCCAATTCACTAGTGTACTGATGAGAATGTTGCAGGTTTTGTCTCATTAATAACTTGCAAATTGGACTGGAAAAAGTTCAATGACATTGGGATTTATGAAGTGTCATAAATGAAGTGTCAATTCCCTTTCGGAAGAACATCTATATGTTAATGGCAGCGAGTTTTCAGCCCTTTGAATGTCTGATATTAATGTTAAAAGGTCAACATATTTTATCTTAGATCTTCCGATAGCTTTAAAGAGGCGCGATTTAATTACTCTAACCTTTCCCATGCGCTGCCAACCCATGGAGAATATAAAGATATTCTTACGTGTTTAATTGAGCAGTTTCCAAAACTTTTATCGAATACATTGCTATCTACGTGGTGTTTTAATAAATTACCTTTTAATGTTGCACTGAACGATCTTGCGTTGTCATTGTACAAATGTGAGGATGTGTCATAAATATTGCAAAACCTTATTAATGTTTGAATAAATACTGGAGTACTCATGTCAAGTACAATGTCGATACGAGTAGCTCTTAGATTTAGGCAAGTAAAAATCAATGGATACATTTTTTCGGATTTTTCTTTGGATCCATAAATGTACGGTGTAATCTATGCCGGTTTATTGGATGGGCTTGACAAACACAAGCTTATGATTTGGCAGATTGGTTAGCGTTGGTACCTGAAGGCTGAATTGTTAAATGTTTACATATATAGCATTTTGATATTACACTTTTTACTGCTTGTTGAGGAACCGTAAATTCTGAGAGGATCAAATGTTTGCATCTGGGGT